CTGAGGTGAGTGGATTGCCTGAGCCCGCAGGTTTGAGACCCGCCTGGGCAACTTGACGAGACCTCATCTCTACAATAAATCAAAATTAGCTGGGCGTGGTAGCAGGCGCCTGTAGTTCTGGCTACTTGGAAGGCTGAGGTGGAAGGATTGCCGGAGCCCAGCAGGTTGAGGCTGCGGTGGCCATGAGCATGCCAGTGCACTCCAGTCTGGCGACAGAGTGAGACTCCAACTCACAAAAAGAAGTGAAATGAAGGAGATTGGTTAGGTCTAAGGAGTATAATAAAGGTTTCATATTTGGACCACTGTTATCATTTGAAAAAAAAAATAGAGAGAACTGCCTTAAGTAAAATTGATAAAGACTAATTGACTCAACTGAAATGAGAAGCCAAGAATTCATAGGGAAATAGTTCTGTGCAGTGTTGTAGAACTTTTGTTTGGTTTTTTTCTGGCAGCTTTCAACTTCTGTGGCACAGGATTAGAGAATGAGGTAGGCATGTGACCTATTTTGTTGTTTTTGTCTTTTAGAGACCTCATCCTTCAACAGCTGAAGCAAAGACTCCAACACCAAAGTTTGACTTATTAGCTTCAAATTTTCCTCCTTTACCTGGAAGCTCATCAAGAATGCCTGGTGAACTCGTTTTGGAGAATAGGATGTCTGATGTTGTTAAAGGTGTCTACAAAGAAAAGGTAAACTCTGAAGCATCTACTATGATTCTCAATCTTATGAGGCCATATTCAGGCCTTTTTTTCCAGAGTTTTTAAAATTTGTATTTGCACTTGCTGTGTGTTTTTTTTTTTTTTTTTTTTTTTTTTGAGTTGGAGTCTCACTCTGTCGCCCAGACTGGAGTGCAGTGGCCACTCCCAGCCACCGCAGCCTCGACCTGCTGGGCTCCAGCAATCCTTCTACCTCAGCCTTCCAAGTAGCCGGAATTACAGGCATGCGCTACCACACCTGGCTGATTTTTTGATTTATTATAGAGATGAGGTCTCGCTGCCCAGGCGGGTCTCGAAACTGCAGGCTCAGGCAATCCACTCACCTCAGCCTCCCAAAGGCGCGGGATTACAGGCTGAGCCAACGAGCCCAGCTTACTGTGTATTTCTATCATAGTTTTTATTCATGGAGTTTATAGCATACTTAGAGTATTTCTTAAAGATTCGTGATAAAGCTACACAAGGTCAATAGAATGTTTCTTGACTTTTGCATGTCTTTATATTAGTCAACTCAGCTTGGTAGAACTGATCAATGCAAACTAAATGGAAGATGTCCTTTGCACTTAAGTGTCTGTAATTAACCAGTGATATAATTGAATTCAGAGCGAACTTGGTAAATTCAGTCTTTAAAATAATGGAGAATAGATTTCAAAAGGTTGGGAAACCCCGTCTTACAATATTTTTGAGTATAGACCTCTATATCGGAAATCCTCATGTCCTGTAGAATGTTCTGTTTTCTACCTTTTTTCTCCAGTTGAGTTGTTTTTGTCATAAAAGTACATATATGTAGTATATCTAGGTTAAATGGATAAACACAGTTCCCTTCAACTACATTCAACCCCTTTTTCTTAGTCTTTTATCTAACTTACCTCCTACAAGATAGAAACACTGCATGCAAGAAACAATCATCAGATCAGCATCTATGTATAAGAACTGGATCTCTAAGAAAGTGAAAGCTATTGCAGATTAGACTAGGACATGCCCTCCTTTGTAAGTCACATTTCAGTGTCACATTTTTTGAAAGTCTCAGGCCAGGCACAGTGGCTCACTCCTATAATCCCAGCACTTTGGGAGGCCGAGGTGAGAGGATTGCCTGAGCCCATGTATTCAAGACCAGCATGGGCAAATTGGCAAGACCTCATCTCTACAATAAATCAAAAAAAAAAAATTACCTGGACGTGGTGGCGTGTGCCTGTAGTTCCAGCTACTTGGAAGGCTGAGTGAGGTGGAAGGATACCCTGAGCCCAGCAGTTTGAGTCTGCGGTGGCTGTGAGCGTGCCACTGTACTCTAACCTGGGTGACAGAGTGAGAATAAAAAAAAAATTAGGCTGTCTTATGATTAAGGAGTAGTATTTTTTTACTCTTGGTAGTACATAAAATAATGGTGTATTTTAAAATCGATGGCTTCTTGGATTTGGTGAGATATTACACACACACACGGTGCCCAATAAATGTATACAGAGGTGTTCTTAGTGGTTACCATCAGCATCCAGGCACTTCTGATTATGGCAAGCTACTGCAGGACTTGTTATTGTGTGGGGCCTCACAGATCTTCCCTTGTGTACATCACACACATACCATGCATCTCAGACTTATCGTCAATGTTTTTAATTGTTAGGCATGTTGGAAGTTCTGTTGCATACTCACGCCTCCATTGTCATTGTACTTCAAGAATGTTCTCGATTTTTTTTTTTGAGTTGGAGTCTCACTCTGTCGCCCAGACTGGAGTGCAGTGGCCGCTCCCGGCCACCGCAGCCTCGACCTGCTGGGTTCCGGTGATCCTTCCGCCTCAGCCTTCCAAGTAGCTGGAACTACAGGCGCGCTACCACGCCCGGCTAATTTTTGATTTATTGTAGAGATGAGGTCTGGCCATGTTGCCCTGTCGGGTCTCGAACCCGCGGGCTCAGGCAATCCACTCACCTCAGCCTCCCAAAGTGCGGGATTACAGGCTGCGCCACCGAGCCCGGCTTTTTTTTTTTAAAGTCAGAGTCTCACTCTTGCCACCCAGGCTTGAGTGCTGTAGCACGTTGAGTTCTGGGCTTAGGTGATCTTTCTGCCTCAGCATTCCAAGTAGCTGGAGCTACAGACACATGCCACCATGTCTGGCAAGTTTTTGTAATTTATTACAGAGACGAGGTCTCACCAAGTTGCCCGGGCTGGTCTTAATCCTTGGGCTTAGGCAGTCCTCTCACCTTGGCCTCCCTCCCAAAATGCTGGGATTTATAGGCTGAGCCACTGTGCCTGGCCCATTATCGAATTTGAAATACTGCTTCAAAATGGTCTTGCACTCCTCAAATGACAACCGTGTTTCCACCATTTTCTTTGGCTGTCCTGCCTGTCACATAGTGACCCTAACATTCGTTTGATTAATGCCATCTTTTTAGTGACCATCATACTACACATTGCTACTGTAATTGAATTCAACTTCCAAAAGTAATACGTAGATAACATCTCTTAAAATGTGTGCGCAGCCGGGCTTGGTGGTTCAGCCTGTAATCCCATGCCTTTGGGAGGCTGAGGTGAGTGGATTGCCTGAGCCCGCGGGTTCGAGACCCACCTGGGCAACTTGGTGAGACCTCATCTCTACAATAAAAATCAAAAAATCAGCCGGGCGTGGTAGCGCATGCCTGTAATTCCGGCTACTTGTAAGGCTGAGTTGGAAGGATCACCAGAGCCCAGCAGGTCGAGGCTGCAGTGCCCGGGAGCAGCCACTGTACTCCAGTCTGGGCGACAGAGAGAGACTCCAACTCAAAAAAAAAAAAAAATATGTGTGTGTATTCTTTTGGCACCCCCGTTACACACACACGCACACACACACACATTTTTACGTACTAATAATGAAGTATATTTTTCCTTGTAATTCCAACCCACAATTGTGTCCTATAAACATCCTCACTATCTCAGTAGTGACATATGTATCGCCTACCTACTTATAATCTTTCTTTCCCTGTCCTCCTGCCTACATGTGAACATTATCCTGACTTTGATAATAATAATCATAATCTTGCTTTTCTTTTTTTTTTTTTGAGTCCGAGTCTTACTCTGTCGCCCAGACTGGAGTGCAGTGGCCGCTCCTGGCCACCGCAGCCTCGACCCGCTGGGCTCCGGCGATCCTTCCAGCTCAGCCTTCCGAGTAGCCGGAATTACAGGCGCGTGCTACCACGCCCAGCTGATTTTTTGATTTATTGTAGAGATGAGGTCTCGCCTACCCAGGCAGGTCTCGAACCCGCAGGCTCAGGCAATCCACTCACCTCAGCCTCCCAAAGGCGCGGGATTACAGGCTGAGCCACCGAGCCCGGCTTGCTTTTCTTTATGGTTCTATTATTATGGGTTGAGAAACTTTCTGTAAAGGGCCAGAAAGTAATAGTAAATATTTAAGGCTTTGTAGGCCACATACTGTTGCGTGTTTTTTTTGTTTGTTTTGTTTTGTTTTTTTGAGTTGGAGTATCGTTCCTTTGCCCAGGCTGGAGTGCAGTGGCATGCACGCTCACAGCCACCCCAGCGTTGACCTTCTGTGCTCCAATCCTTCCACCTCAGCCTTCTGAGTATCCGGAACTACAGATGCACGCTACCACATCCAGCTATTTTTTATTTTATTGTAGAGACGAGGTCTCACCAAGTTGCCTGGGCTGGTCTTGAACCTGTGGGCTCAGGCAATCCACTCTACTCAGCCTCCTAAAGTGCTGGAATTACAGACTGAGTCACCAAGCCTGGCCTGTTTGTTTTTATAATCTTTTTTTATTTTTAGTTGTAGTTACAACTCTTGTTGCCTAGGCTGGAGTGCAGTGGCACACTCACAGCCACCGCAGGATCAACCTGCTGGGCTTAGGTGATCCTTCCACCTCAGCCTTCCAAGTAACTGGAACTACAGACGACCGCTACCATGCTTGGCTAGTTTTTGTGCTTTATTGTAGAGAAAAGGTCACACCAAGTTGCCCAGCCTGGTCTCGAACCCCCCAGCTCAGGCAATTCTTTCACCTTGGCCTCCCAAAGTGCTGGGTTTACAGGCTGAGCCACCACGCCCAGCCTTTATAATCTTTTAATGACTTCCAAACAATTTTTAGCGAATAGGCCATAACAAAACAGTACAAAAACCTGGATTTGTCCTGCAGGTTTTAGTTTGCTAACCCCTGCCCTAGATAACTGTTTTTGAAGACTTATAAATGGAATTATATAGTATACTTCTGTTACTCCTTTCGTTCTATATGGTTAGAGATTCATCCATCACTGTTGGTACAGATGAATTTTGAACTATTGTTCAATATTCTATTGTAGGAGTATAGCATTCATTCATTCTCTGCTGATGGACATTTTTTGTCCATTATAAACAGTGCTTTCATAAATATTCAAATCTTCATGTGAGTAAGACATTTTCAAGGGTATTTATACATAGGAGTGGAATTACTGGGTCCTAGCACATGTCCTTTTTAAATGTATGTCTTAAATAGTTGGTATGTTTTTTTCTGTTGTGTTATCTTTTTTCTTGCAGATGCATGTAATTTCTCATATGTTCTGGATACTAGTCCTTTGTCATTTATATGTCATTTATAGTTTTTAGTGTCTATAAGTGTAAACAATTTCTTAATTATTTTATTTTTTTGAGTTGGAGTCTCACTCTGTTGCCTAGGCTGGAGTGCAGTGTGGCACTTTCACGGCCACTGCAGCCTCGACCTGTTGGGCTCAGGCAATCCTTCGGCTTCAGCCTTCAAAGTAACTGGAACTATGCACCACACCCAACTAATTTTTTTTTATTATTATTATTATAGAGATGAGGTTTCGCCATATTGTCCAAGCTAGTATGAAACCTGTGGGCACAGGCAATCCTCTCACCTCCGCCTCTCAAAGTACTGGGATTACAGGCATGAGCTGTCGTACCCAGCTTTAAGAGACTGAGCCTCACTTTGTTATTCAAGACCAGGCTTATCATGAACTCCTGGCCTTAAGTGTTCTTCCCCCCTCAGTCTCCCAAAATACTGGGATTATAGGTCTGAGCCATTGTACCTGGCCCTTAATTTTAATATAATCTTATATACCAGTCTTTCCTTTATGGTTCATTCTTTCTCACTCCTGCTTAGGAAATGATTCATCATCCAAAGATTTTTCTTTGAAAGCGTTCTGAATCCTGATCTCTGTGACCTGATGTTTTCCCTCTCTGGCTGTTTTCAGAATCTTGTATTTCTTGCTGGTATTCTGCCAGCTTTTGTGGTGACGTGTCTTGGTATGGCTCCTTTTTTGTTCATTGCACTGGATGCTTGGTGGACTCTTTCATTCTGGAAACAAGTCTTGCCATGTTTGGAAAGTTTTCTGCATAATCTCTTTGAAGTATTCACCTATCCTCTGTTTCTTGAACTCTTCATTATGATGTTGGATCTTATATGTTTAACCTCTGATTTTCTTGTTTGGACTTTCCTAATTATATCTTTGGTTTTGCTTCTTTTTTCTACAGTATTCCTGAACATTACTTTAAATCTGTTGAAATTTTTATTTCATCAATCAGTTTTCATTTCCTGGGCTTTTTTTCCGTTTTGAAATTGTAATAAATACACATAACATTTACTATCCTAATCATTTTAAGGGTGTACAGTTTTGGAATGTTGTAAAACTAATTTCCAGAATTGTTTTCATCTTGAAAACTGAAACTATAGTTAAAAGTCAACAACTCCCCATTCCCCCGTTTACTTAGCTCCTAGCAACCACCATTCTACTTTTTGTCTCTGATTTGACTACTTTATATAAATGGAATCATACCATATTTATCTTTCTGTGACAGACTTCTTTTACTTACCATAATATCCTCAAGGTTCATTCATGTTGAGTTGGGTGTGGTAGCTCATGCCTGTAACCCCAATACTTTGGGAAGCCCAAGTGGGGAGATCCTTGAGCCTAGGAGTTTCAGACTGCAGTGAGCCATGATTGTGCCACTGTGCTCTAGCTTGGCGATAGAGTGAGACCCCACTTCAAAGAAATAATAAAAATAAATGTTAAAGGTTCGTCCATGTTGAAGTATATATGAGTATGTCATTTCTCTTATTGCCAAATACTATTCATTATTTGGATATGCTGCATTTTGTTTATCCATTCACCAGATGATGAACATTGGGCTTGTTTCCACTTTTTGGCTATTATGAATAATGCTGCTATGAACGTTTGTGCAAAAGTGTTTGTATAGACAGTATGTTTGTATTTCTTTTGGCTGTATACCTAGGCATAAAATTTCTGAGTAACACAGAATTATATGGGAACTCTATTTAACTTTTTAAGGAACTGCCATTGTTTTCGTAAGTAGTACACCATTTCATGTCACCTCAATGGATAAGAGATCCAGTATCTCCATATTATCACTAACCTTTATTAATACCTGTCTTTTTTATTATTACATACCTGTGAATATGAAATGGTTTTGCAATTTGCATTTTCCTAATAACTAGTGATGTAAGCCCATCTTCTCATTCTTATTTGCCAATTTTATATCGTTGGAAAAATGTCTAAGTGTAATTTTGAAATCTCTTTTTACCAAAAGGATAATGAAGAGTTGAGAGTTAGTTGCCCAGTGCCTGCAGAGGATGAGCAGACAGAATGCACTTCTGCCCAGCAATTCAGTCTGAGTGCCAGTCCACCCTGTGCAGCTGAGCTTCCTGCATTAAGGTACACATCTTGGTATAGATCTTCAACATTAAATTACTTTTTCTTCTTCTTTTTCTTTTCTTTTCTTTTTTGAGTCAGAGTTTCACTTTGTCCCCCAGACCAGGGTGCAGTGGCATGCTCTCAGCCACCACAGCCTCGACCTGCTGGGCTCCGGTGATCCTTCATCCTCAGCCTTCCAAGTAGCCAGAACTACAGGCACGCTCCACCACGCCCGGCTAATTTTTTTATTTATTGTAGAGATTAGATCTTGCCATGTTGCCTAGGCTGATCTCGGACCCGTGGGCTCAGGCAGTCCTCTCGCTTCCACCTCCCAGAATGCTGGGATTACAGGCGTGAGCCGTCGCGCCCAGCAAATTTCTTTTTCTTCTAAACAGTTGCCCAGCTATTCATGCTTGCAATTCTAAGTATAATGTAAAGCTCTTTTTTACTTAGCACATCTCAGCAAGAAAAGGATCTAATAGAAGATTCCACTATTCAGAAGGATGTTGTCAACCAAATGACTATACCGGTTTCTCCCCCAAGTACTGCAAAGCCATCAAGAGGAAACACTGCTTCGCCATGTAATAGCGTAAATGCAGCTGTATCTGTGGCCCTGCAGGTAACTTGAAGAGTTTATGTGAGAAAAAATTCAGTTGATTAGATAATAAATTATTTTTATTCACATAATGCTTTGTTAGATCAGAGTCATTTGGAAGTAACCCAGTGGGCCTGCTTGCATCAGAAAGACGCTTAAAGGAGTTTAAGGCCATTGCAAAGAAATGGGAAGTTTTAGTCATGTTGAATAATTGACTCTTCCTTCTGGTTCTTTTGCTTGCTTTTTTTCTGATGGTTAAGTGAAGCTTCTTTTTTATCCAGGTTATGATTAATCTATCACTTTGGGGTTAGCGTAAAGCAGTCTTGATCCTATTGAAATCTTGTATATATGACATTGTAAAATCTTATGTCATGATTTTACTCCCGTTTGAATTCAAGTTCCAGAATTGTGTCATAACTTTAATTGGGAAAACACAGAAAAGCAGAATAAACAACTAAACTTACCTATAATTTTTCTACTTGATGATTTAACTAGTAACATTGTAGTACAGCTCTTTTTTTATAGGCTAAGGCTTTATCGTCTCATCTAATGATAGTAATAAAAAATAGCCTCAATTTGAATGCTTGATATTTGCTAAGGCTATTGTTACAGGCGCTACATGCTTTATTCTATTCTCACAACACCCCTCTTCAACTTTTTTCAGTTGAGTTAACTAAGACTTTCAACTAGTCTTATAGTAATATAGCGCTGGTTTTCAAGTACTCTGCCATGATTGTGGATTCCCTTTCTGGTGCTTTGTAGCAAAGAAAGAGAGAGCAGAACCTTTCATTAGACATCTAGATTGTTTCCACTTCTTTCATTGCTATAAACAATACTGATGTGAACATCTTTTGGATAAATTCTTCAACTGAAATTATGGTATGATAAATAAATTGTTAAGGCTCTTTATTGTCTTCAACAAATATGTTTTTTAAATGATTGCAACAGTGTAGCCGGATAGCAGTGTGTATGAGAGTGCCTGCTGTGTTTTCCTAGAAAATAACTTGTGGTTTTCTTGTTGTTAGCACAGTCTTCTTTGTACTTTGTTATTTAGAGCATGTGCTATAAGCCTTTTTTGTTTCTTATTATCCTTCAAAGGAACCCCGGAAGTTAAGTTACGCTGAAGTGTGCCAGAAGCCCCCTAAAGAGCCGTCTTCAGTTCTTGCACAGCCACTTCGGGAGCTTCGCTCCAACGTAGCATCTCCTACCAAACAGGAAGAGAACGGAACTCCTGAGAAGTCTGTTGAGAAACCACATGAGAAGCCAGAAGCAAAGGCTAGTAAGGATTATTCTGGCTTCCGAGGCAATACCATTCCCAGGGGAACAGCTGGAAAAATCAGGGAACAGAGACGCCAGTTTAGCCATAGGGCTATACCTCAGGGAGTGACTCGACGTAATGGCAAAGAGCAATATGTGCCACCCAGATCACCAAAGTAAAAACAAACAAACAGACAGACAGACAAACAAAAAACTATTCAGAAACTTCTCTCTCTTCCCATTAAACTTGAGCCGTGGCTGTATTGAACTGTTTTGGAGGGGAGGGGGTAGCCAAGAAGGAAACAGGAGAAAGTACTTCCTTAATCATTATGGGCTTTGGAGTTGTGAGCAGTAGGATCCCAAAATTCATCTCTAATGTGATTTTTAAATGCTGGAGGATTCCAATCAGTATAAATACACACACACACACACACACACACACATACACACACACACACATATATATATATATATATATAAAAAGTATAATTTTTCTATTTTTGTTTTTGATTTTAATTTGCAGAGATTTTCTGCCTGGAATCAGTTTTGAGGGTTCAGATTTAGCTTTGGGGGAAAAAACCTTATACATCCTTCAGTATAAGAGATGAGGGAGTGAGAGAAAATATTTTTTGACAAAGCATTTCTGTAAAATTAGAAATTACTTTTTTTAATCTATTTAAAGTTTGGCTTGGAGAATGCCATCTCTAACTATATGGCCTTGTAGTGCAAAGCAGATCAGTGACTGGGGTGCCTGTCGTGGGTGTGAGTGTGTAACCGAGTGACTGAAGCCAAATCTGTTGTCATGTTAGTAAATGATTTGAAAACTGAATGTAAGACTTGAGTAGATTTTTTTTTCTAGCTCAAAATTTAGTCTGTCTTTTTGACCTTGCTAATATTTTATTCTACAAGTTGTTAAGTTCTGATTGTACTTGGAGATGTGATTACCAATCAGTTTAGTTAACTCAAGGAAAGATTGGGGCTTATTCAGAAAACAGAAAATTTCATCTTAGACCTTGAGTGAATAGGTCAGATGGACTTCAGAGGTTTAAACTGCCCTGTGATTCCTCTCTGCCCTTAAATGGAAAACAAAAATTTTTTTTTTTCAAAAAATTTTTTGTTTCTCCGTTTTTACTCTCTGTTCTTTTCCTGCCCATCCCTAACAGCAAAATAACCAACCACCTACTGAATTGTATGTTTGTCACTGCTTTGACCAGTCTAGTAAAATCATAACTGTTCTAAATTTCAAAGTTGAACATTGAAGTATTTACTCTTTCTGTTCACATATTTAGAATTTTAGGTCCCAGAATGGTAGGGCAACCTGACTACAATAATTTATTTGTGTTCGTGATAAAGATGAAACATTGTAACTGACTCTTAAGGTGTTAAATAGTATAGAAGTAAAAAGAATTTTTTTAAAAGGATTAATTTTGGGGGGATTTATTTCTGTTTACAGTACATTTATCACCTTCCTTCCCCTTCTCAAAAAAATATAGTTTGGAACTCACTACTACAGAACCAGCAAGTCATGAGTTTTTTGAGTTAAAGTGAGAGAGATGGTTGAAGAAAATTATCGCACAGTTTCTCAGTGAATAAAGTTGTAACTCATATATTTTTAAATAGGCAAGTTTACATGCTGGTATTTAGAAAACGGCTAAAATATTAAAAACCATGTTGCATTAATCTGTTTTAAGTCATACCATGTTCAGAGTTCTATGTAAGGTGGGGTTTTACTTTTCTTTTTAGGGATAGTTTGTAATAGTAAGAACTGTCCCTATGTTAGTGAATTACATATGTACAAATTGAAACTGTAAATTGTGAACACTGGAAAGCACCATTGTGTCATAGAATAAACATCTTAGTAATATATTAAAATGAATGTAAATGGAGGTTAAAATTACATTACTGTGAAACTCATCTTCCAACTCTAAGTTAAGCTTTGGAGATATGTATTAGTGGGTAACTGTTAAAAGCTTTGAAAACACTGCACATTTCTGTACAAGGCAGAATTATTATTTCTTTGTGATTTATTATTCAGCTTGGCAATTGCTTTTGATTTGGTGGCTTTTATAACATGGTAGAATATATTTACTCAGTTTGAAACTATTCATTTCTACACACTATTTTAAAAATCATCTACTAGATGAAACATACAATAAAACTACCTGTGCTGCAATTTGGGGGAAGTTTAGGTCCTTTTTTTAAAGTATTAATAATCATCGATTACATCAATAATAAAAGTGCTTTATTTTGGTTTACTTCGATAATGCAGTTGGTGGAAATGATAAACATTTAAAGTGTTAACATCTTGTGAATGCATTGGATTTAAGATAATAAACATTTTATAAAAATCACTTGGTAAGATTATAAATTTAATTACTGCACTTAAAAATGAAACATTACCTTTTTTAACAATTTGTCACAGATATAGGCTTATATTATTTGTATGCTTGTGTGGCTTGCTGTTAGTCCACCAACTTCTAAAGATCTACAGTTTCTAACTAAAACACAAGAAGGAGCCTTCTTTTTGAAGAAAAGTGTATTTTTGCTTTTGCCCCATATGTTATTGAGAGTAGAAATTTAATTTGAAGACATACCCATTTTTAAAATTTCTTATAGTGTATTTGCCTCTTTACATCTGATAGTTCCCATTTGATGGGATGTATAGGGAATAGTGTGTGCACGTGTGCGTGTGTGTGTGTGTGTGTAATATACACAGTATGTATTTAGCATTTATTTTATTACAGCAGATGTAAGATTTGTATCTAAATGATGCCTGTGAGTTGTGTGAAAATGTTGGCTTTTTTCCAGCGTTATTCTGTAATGATGAGGGAGTGCGATCACTGTAGTTCAACTATTTATTTGATTCTTTAGATGGAAGAATTGAAATACCAATTTTTCTCTTCCTTTATGACTTAACATTCCCTTGGGCTGTTGGCGGCTAAAAGTAGATATAAATGACATTGAATGTCTGATTCAGTGGTGTTCTGCCATAGTTCTTACTGCACAAAGAGACCAAGGGTCATCCGAGTTCATTGCCTTGCAATCCATAGAGAAGGTTCATGGAGACACTGTAAAACCCATCTCCATTTTCTGTTTATTGAGGTCTTCATAATATTTACCTGTCTCTAATCTGAGTAATTTCAGTATTGCCAAATATAGATGCTGATTTAAAATGGTAGTCATCCATCTAAAATTTTTTCACCTGAATTTTGGAGGAAGGTAAGACCTTTGATATAGTTTCATGGTGGGGGTGGTGATCTTATGTGCTCAATTTGCTAGTAATTTAATGATATGCAGAGTTCTGATTTACTTTGGATTCCTAAAATTATGGTAGCTTGAATATTGTTTCACATTCCTTTTTCTTTCTGAATAACCAGGTTTGCTTTGCAGAAAGGCTTAACAATGGAATTTTAGCACCTTTGTTATATAAGAAAGAAGAATGTTGCTGGAACAGATAATAGTATTTAAAAATTAGTGAACACTTCTCTAGTTCTATTAGTTAAGGCTTTAAAATTTAGTCTCTTGACTAAATCCTGCGCCTTTGGGAGGCTGAGGTGAGTGGATTGCCTGAGCCCGCGGGTTTGAGACCCGCTGGGCAAATTGATGAGACCTCATCTCTATGATAAATAAAAAAATTAGCCGGGCATGGTAGCGCACGCCTGTAATTCCAGCTACTTGGAAGGCTGAGGTGGAAGGATCGACAGAGCCCAGCAGGTTGAGACTGCGGTGGCCGGGAGTGGCCACTGTACTCCAGTCTGGGCGACAGAGTGAGACTCCAACTCAAAAAAAAAAAAAAAAAATTTAGTCTCTTGGCTTAAATGTCCACTGGTTTTACTTTGACGCAGTTCAACAACACTGGGGATAAGTCTCTGATATATTTGTGTTGAAAATACATATTAACCATACTTTAAAAGTACCAGTTTTGTTTTACAGAGAAGGTGAAACTCAAAACAGTGTGTTCCTTTTGAAAGGGTTTTATAAATTCTTAACTATATGACGAGTTTGTCTTTTTATATTTCCTTACAAGTTGGTGGCCATTGATTTAACTTTAGGCTTTTTGGTGTATGCTAATGTAGCTAGTCTGAGCTCCCAAGAAGATATGTAGACATTTCACTTTTCATTAGCTGAATGAGGACATTTTAAGAAGTTGAGAGAGAATTTGTTTTCAAGTTGAGAATTAATTCTCTATTAAAATTTACCTGATTATTAAAAATTTAAAGTTTATTTTTCAAAGCTGAGAACTTCTTATAAACTTTGATTAGACATTTCCTAAAAGTGCAACTCTGATATCAACAGACTGTTTTACATGGTTTTATTTTCAGTTTTGCAGCACAGAACACTGAGTATATGTAAAGAAATTTCCACATAACATTGAATTTAAAAAAAAAAAACAAAACCTTATTTAGGTGTCCTCTGAGTGACATCTGTTAAATGTTGGGGGGGGTGGGAATCAAAACCAGCTATCTGACTTCTGTTTTGTCCATTGCTTAGTTTGTTCCTGTTGTCAAAACTGCCCCCCTAAAAAATGGTGTGACACGTGCTTATGCATAAAATGTTAAAATGAGAACATCCTTGTATTTGTATTTGTCTTCAACATTGCCAAGGTGCTATGGAAAATTAGCATAACAAAATTAGAAAAAAATAAAAATATTAAAAAGCAGGACTGGTTTCCTTTTCTCTAGGTGGTATATGTCTAATGACTACTTCTGTTTACTTTTAAGTAATTTGTGTTGCCTACTTTGCTGCCGTTATTCTGATCTCAGCTGTTATTTTGGATCTGGAAGAAATGATGGCATTTCTCTGTAAAACAGGGATCAGGCAATCCTCCTGCCTCGTCTTCCTGAGTAACTTGGACTACAGAGAGCCATAAGATTCGGCTTTATGATTCTGGGGTTTTCTTTTAATTTTTTCAGTATCAGAAGCCGTTGTTGGGGGGAGAAAAATCACAGGGCAGTGGCAGTTACGGTCTGGCTTCAGTACATGTGTATCAAGTCCAGCTAAAAGGGCATTTCGAGCTTTTTAAGGGAAAAATCACTAGGAAATTCAAATGAATATTTATTTTTATTTTATTTATTTCTTTTGAGTAGGAGTCTCACTCTGTTGCCCAGGCTGGAGTGCAGTGGCACTCTCACTGCCACTGCAGCCTCAGCCTGTTGGGCTCAGGTAATCTCCGCGTCAGCTTTCCATGTAGCTGGAACCACAGGGGTGCGCCACAATGTCCAGCTAATTTTTTTATGTATTGTAGAGACAAAGTCTTGCCAAATTTCCCAGGCTGATCTTGAACCCCTGGCTCAGGGAGTCCTCTCACCTCCACCTCCCAAAATGCTGGGATTACAGGTGTGAGCCACAGTGCCCGATTATAAAAAAAATTTTTTTAATGATAAAGATGAGTGAATCTCTAGCTTTTTAGCAAGTGTTTATCTGTAAATTCGTGTGG